TGACATAATAGTTTCCAGCATCAAATGCAGAATATATCATCTGCAAGGAGTACGCCAAACACAAAGAAATCAAACCACTTGAAGTAAATCTAAACCTCAGAGTCACTCTTTGAAGTATGAGTTTTAATGGTATCTACAGTTGCACCATTGATTTTTTTGGCCATCCAATCATACAATTGATAGCTAGCATATTTTTCTTCTGTATGCAGACACAATTGGTGGGTTCAATCCAATTAACATGTTATTAATTCATTCTTCCCTCGAAATGTTCTTCCCTAATTCAAGGTGAATAAATTATATTATGTTTCAGATTATTATTTTTTTCTTATATATGAAAAGAACAAAGTCTAATGGCCAACTTTAAATAATTTACTGGCATGTAATTGTAATGTTTCCCCTGTCATTCAGCACTAAAACTGTTTAGTATATGATACAGTGTGTGCTATATTATGAGATAAAAAACACCAAAGATTTCTCCAGTGTTGTTTTGCTCTCACCCTTTTCATGGTATATCCATAAATACTATTAACAAAATAATAATACCGTACAGAAGACCAAAAGAATATCTAAAAATTATTACCGGGAGGGCATAGTTTTGGAAGACAACAACAGTAGCACGGTTGAAAACTTTTTTCCAATCATTCATAAGTGCAATTTGCCCACTTGAAGTGTATTGTCTTGAACGAATAGCAAGTGTTCTTTCATGGATGGTCCATATAATAGGTACAGATTTGAAAGGTTCCTGCATGAGACTGCAACAAGAGACATGTTAATGCCACTGACTCACACAAGAAAGAAGAAACTATTGCAAGATATCTCTATGGAGAATGGAGAGCAAAAATTCTGATTAAACTAGAGGTCCTACCTAGAAAAGACACCCTTGGCTTCAAGAGAACTGACAAGAATGCCATCATAGCTGCAAAAAAGAGCAAATCAGGGTTAGATACAATCAAAAATCATTATGCTTAGAGCAGAAAAAAGGAAAAAGAAAAGGCTCAATCATTTCAAGGGAGAAAATGACAAGTGCAATTAATTAGTTCGATAACTCCACAGGTACATTAACAAAAGTTCTCAATGAATTTAAATTAATGTAGAGAATACGAGGATACATCATTATAGGTAGTTTGTCAATCCCAGTCTCCAGGTAGCCAATACTTCTGTCAACTGAAGATAGGGGTCCTCAAATGGTTTGATTTAAACATTTTATTATGAAAAACATGGATCTAAAAGTTGACTCGATAGATTTTTACAAGCAGAAAGACATACTTTAGCCAATCAACAACAATCTCCATCTTGGGACCAGCTTGAAGAATGGTGACTGGAACTCCTATGTTTTGCCAAATGTTGTGCACAGGACCATCTTCAAGTGAGTAAACCTTCCAAAAGATATTAAAATGCATGCAGTGTTAAGAAGGACCATTCATCTCACTTTAAGAAGCAAATGGTAAAACTTCAAGCTAAGAAGAAGAAATAGGAACTTTCATTTTGTTCATATCCATTGGCTTTTCTTAAGTAGGCTTCATCTCCATGGAGAATTCATGAGTCCAAAATCTGTCCTCAAAATCATTGTTAAAAAGAAAGACGCATGCTGTTATATTATCTGGTTTAAGCAGCTCTTTTGCATGGCTGTGGGTAATTTTAAAAATATGACTTCATAAAAATAATTAAAAGCAATAAACTGGATAAATTGAAAAAAGTAATCTCCTATTTTGCCAATGGAATAGCAAAGTTATTTGCTGGCTCAAGTGGTTATTATTGTTAAGACCAAACTCCATTAAAACTTAAGCCACATTTTAACAACAGCTTTTCCTCAAGAAGGAAGAAAGGAGGCACTACATATTCCCCTCTTAAAAAGAACAAGACATCAGAGCAGGTGCTAAGACTCTATTAACCAAGGAAACGAGGCCTATCTCATCAATGTTGGAAACTTCCCTTAAATAGTTTGTTCATTGGATTAAAGTACTTCTTTCTTTCCAGATTGGTTAGTAAAATTTAGATCAAGAAATGAATAAATCCAAAGAGAACCAACAAGAAGTTTCAGAAAACAACAAACAAGCACTTCTCAGACCTCCAACCTCACGCCATAAACTAATTTCTAAGCCTTTCTTTTTCCATTTTATGTACCAAAACCTCATCTCTCTAAGGCCATATAGGTCCCATAGCCAGCTACATAAATCAGAATATGCAATCAGCAATAACCCACCGTATCTGATGAAGCTAATTCTTTTCATTCAACATCAAAATTCGAATATATTAAAAAATGAAGCATCCAGAACTCAATGTTGTTACCTGGATTGCATAACCAATCTCTCTCAGTGCAGTCGCAACAGTCACCATTAACAATTGTTGTGGATCAACTAATAGATCAGCAAACACCTTCAAGTAGAATTGTCAACCAAAAACTAATTATATGACAAGCAAGAACAGAGATAAACACTAGAATGTCCATTACTGAGCAAAAAATTGCACTAAGATTTAATTGAGAGAAAAACAAAATGTAGTAAAATGAATCAAACTGACCAAAGCAAGCTGTGGCTTTCTGTATTCAAAACGGTGTTGACTCCTGTTAAAAGAAGACGAAAATGACAAATGGAACTCGCTACCTTCTCTCTTGAACTTTTCCAGCAGCTTGGTAGGCTCAATTCTGATGTCTTCACCAAAATCGAATCCACCAATCTCTTTCAAATACCTGAAATTTTCTGGAATCAGCTCCGCACCGTCCACGGAATCCTTGGATTTCTCCACTACCGAACCAGGCAAAAACATCTGGAAGAACACGACGAGGAGGAGGAAAACAGCTACAGTGCAAATCCACTGGACGTAATCCAGCCTCTTGAACATCAGAAAACGCGAGAATATCGTCACCGTCCTGTTCAACGACGATTGCCTCCCGATCCTGGTGGTGGACGCCGTGGTCCTCTTCGGTGGAATCCCGGTCTCCAAGGAACCCATTCACCTTCCCATCAAAATCAACAAACAGCTCCAAAAGAGTTACATGCAAATCCACATCCAAAAAAAAAATCAGTAGCAGAGGAGCAGCGATTGCCGATGTAAGATGCTTGTGAGTTGAGTAAAGGATTGAGTCCGGGAAGCACGACTACTGTTGACGTGAAATTTGATCGTTGAAAATGATTGTTTTACAGATTTACCGGGGAAAAAGGGGAGATAGATTCGGGAATGGAAACCGGGAATACAGTGAGATTGAGCTGGAAACGGCGGT